GCGGCAGCGCAAGGAGGCGGTGAGGGAGCCCGGGGGCGCGGGAGCCCTGCGGCACCGGCGCCGGGGCCCGCGCTGCTGCGGGCGGCCTGGCGGCGAGGAGCGGGAGCGGGGGGATCAGGCAGCGCTTTGGGGCGGGGGTCTTCCTAGGCCCTACCCATCCATGCTGAGGAGGAGGAGGATGAGGAGGAGGAGAAGGAGAATGAGAAGGAGGAGGAGGATGAGGAGGAGGGAGGGTGCGGGCTGTGCAGGAGCCGGGGGTGACGCTGTCGCTGCCCCGCAGGTGCTGGCGGAGAAGCGCAACCTGGGCAGCAAGGACGGGCCCCCGCACCTCGTGGCCGTGGTGCCGCTGCACGGGGCGGCCGCCCCCTGCGACGCTGCCCTGCGCCTGCTGCAGAGCCAGGACGCGGCCACCGTGCGCGGCGAGCCGGGCGGCACCGGCTTCGCGCTGCTCTGTCCCCGCCTCAAGCAGCGCTGGCGCTTCGTGGTCGCGCAGGCGGGTGAGGACACACTGCTGCTGCTCTGGGGTTTGGCTCCCCAGCCCCGGCAGCCCCACGGACAGACATGTTCTGTGCACAGGGGATCTTCACGCTGTCCTGGACCTGGCAAAGGTTGCAGATTCCCTCCTGTTCCTCTTGGATCCTGCGGAAGGCTGGGACAGTGTCGGGGAGCGCTGCCTCTCCTGCCTCTTTGCACAGGGGCTCCCCAGTTTTGGTAAGTGAGGAGCATAAAGGCTTCTAGAGGGGCTGGGTTAAGGGGGTGCTTGGTGAGGATTCCTTTTGTAGTAATTAAAAACACCACGTGTTGGCAAGGGATTTTATGTCTCGCACCACCCAGTTTCTAAGCGCAGCTCAATCAAGCAAGTGCTGTTGCCCTGCTGTCATATTCTGTGTTCTGATGATGGTTTCCTGCAGTGATTGTGTTCCTTTTTAAGAGAATGAAGCTGTTGTTTGCTTCATTTGAGTTGCAGGGATCGGGGTTTGTGTTCAGTGTGCAAGATGGGAACGAGGAGGTTTCTGTCCTGATTGTGAGCCCTGCCTGCTCTTTGGTAGCTCTCGCCGTCCCCGGCGGCACCGACTTGCCCCCGAAGAAACGCATAGACGCAAAGAAGAGACTCGCCAAGGCCATCGAGAAGCGTTTTCCGGAGGCCAAGCTCTTCCCGCTGAACACGGCGCAGGAGGCGTCGCTGCTGCTGCGGCAGCTCGGCGCGCAGCGCCAGCGGCCCCTCGCCTTCCGCGCCCGGCGCGCCCACCTGCTCGCCTACGCCGCCCACTTCGAGCCCAGCCCCGAGAGCCACCTCGTCGGCACCCTGAAGGTCTCGGGCTTCGTGCGGGGGCAGACGCTGAGCGTGAACAGCCTGGTGCACATTGTGGGGCACGGGGACTTCCAGATGAGCCAGGTGGAGGCGCCCCCGGACCCTCTCGCTTTGAATCCCCGTGTGGATAAAGGCCACAAGCGGAGTCAGGACATGGATGTACAGGTGGGCTGCTGGCCACGTTTGTCTGGCCCATTAAAACACAACGTTTTTAGACTTCCATCAGGAGAGTAAGATGGGTGTGTGAGGCCAAGGAGGAGGAAGGGAATTGCATCAAGGGGGCAGTAAACTCGTGTTCTGCCAGTGAGCCAAGACCTCCTCGGGTGCAGCACGGAAGGAGCATGGTGATGTCACCATGTAATGAGTATTGTGCTGAGGAGAATCTGCTCTCTTTGTCAGCACGGGGTTTGTTTGGGTGGGGAGCGGCGTGGGGAGGGAGCTGGTGCCTCTCTTCCAGCTGGTCTCTAGCCTGAATTGGGTGTGTTCATACCTGTTCCCTGGCCTTTCAGGATGATGCTCAGAACGGTGCCGATGAGATGGAGGAGGATGTGAAGGTCCTGATGAAGGCAGACGCCAGCAAGCAGGAGTCTTTGCAGTCGGAAGTGATCCCAGATCCCATGGAAGGGGAGCAGACGTGGCCGACGGATGAGGAGCTGCAGGAAGCAGAGGGTGAGCGGTAGCCGGGTGTCTGTAGCCTTTCCGTGTCCGTGTGGGAATCCCTGTGTGACTAGGGTGGCTGAAGGGGCAGTGAAGCAATGCACTGGCCTGGAGCCACAGCTCCTGGAGACTTCCCTTCTTGCTCCCGTGGCCTGGCTGCAGGGCCACGTGGCTTCCCGGTGTCACCTTGTGTCCTGAGAATGGTGGCTCTCGCCTGGAGCGGCTCTTGGCCCTCCTGGGGTTGATGCTATGGAGGGGTAGGAGGGAGGTCCCTGTGTTGATCCCTGGGAATCCCACAGCTGCGCTGAAGGCCAACAGGAAGGTGGTGAAGGTCCCCAAAGGCACATCCAAGTACCAGGCGGCCTGGATTGTGGATGATGAAGAGGACACCGAGGAAGATGATGATGAGGAGGAGGAAGATGATGACATGGATGATATGATGGAAGAGGCAGCTTCCCAGGTACCTTCAAAAGCTGATACTTCAGGTCATCTCCAGGCCACTGCTGCGTGTCCTAGAACAGTCCTGTCCTTTGAGCTTTTGCCAAGAGCACAAAACAGAGTCAGGACCTGCCTGATCTCAGGATTTCAGAGTTAAAGCTCTCAATCCCGTGCATCCTGTGGCTGCTTTGGCCTGTTAGCTGGCAAAATGAGTGACTGCAGCGTGGCCTGGCCCGTGTTTGGCACCGTGGGCACACGCAGGGTTTGCAGCACTGTGTGGACGTGAGCTGAGCGGTTATGGACTCTGCTGTCCTCTGTGTCAGGAGGAGGAAGGCAGCGAGGAGGAAGAGGAGCTTGCGGAGGAGGAATGTGAGACCGTGACCGTGTCCGAGTGTGTGCGGGATGAGCACTACGATGAGAAAATGGAGGAGGACGAGGAGCAGATGCTGGAGAGATACAAACAGGAGCGAATGGATGAAATGTTCCCGGATGAGGTGGACACGCCACGGGATGTGCCTGCCCGTGTCAGGTGGGACACTGCCCTTGGGAGCGGAGCTGGAGGGACCCTCTGTCTAGTCTGGGGAAGTAGGGCAGGAAGCCTGTGATGTCTTAGCCATGATGTCTGAACCTGGCTGAAGGCTCTTCTGAAGATGCTCCTTTAGGCTCTGAGGCTTCCAGGGGAGGTGCTGGTGGGGGCAGTGGGTGCCTGGGCAGCTCCCTGGGGACAGGAGAGCTGGATTCTGGCCTGAGAGAAGGGTAAAATTTGCTCTCTTTGCCTTCTGTGAGGAAGTGAGATCTTGAGGAATGTGGAAGGAGCTGGCAAGACATCTAGGCCTGTAAATAGTTTCTTTGCTATTGTCTGTCTTTCAGGTTTCAGAAGTACAGAGGGCTCAAGAGCTTTAGGACTTCTCCATGGGACCCCAAAGAGAATCTCCCAAGGGACTATGCCAGGATTTTTCAGTTCCAGGACTTCTCCCGAACCAGGAAGCACATCTTCCGGCAGATAGAGAAAGAGGAGCCTGAAGGGGCCTTGGTAATGCACTTTTCTCTTGCTGGCCATTCATCTTTCCATCTCTCTGCTGTGTTCCCTTGCTCCTGGGAGGACAGACTTGGCAGGGAAGTGGCTGCATAGTGCAGCCAGCTGGTTCTTAACCTGAAGTCAGAAGCCCAGATAATGTTTTCCCTTGGATTCTCTCTCTAACCCAGACACATTCCTGCTGACACCTCTATTGAAAGAGATATCCATAACCAGTCCTCTCTTGGCAGGTTGGCTGGTACGTCACGCTTCACATCTGCAACGTGCCTGTCTCGGTGATGGAGAGCTTCAGAGACGGGCGGCCGCTCGTCCTCTTCACGCTGCTTCCTCACGAACAGAAGGTGAGCAGTTTTGGCCGTGCTGCTGTCTGGACGTGGAGCTCGTGGCACCTGCCAAAGCCCCTGGGAGGCCCCTGCCAAGGGCGTCTGTCCGTGCGGCGGTGTCGGCTGCTTTCTGCTCTGCCGCTGTCCCTTGCCAGCCCCTCACGGTGCTGTGTGTCCCACAGATGTCCGTGTTGAACTTCCTGGTGCGGCGGCATCCGAGCAACAACGAGCCGGTGAAGGCGAAGGAGGAGCTGATCTTTCACTGCGGGTTCAGACGCTTCCGAGCTTCCCCGCTGTTTTCGCAGCACACGTCAGGTGTGTGAGGGGCTTGTGTGGGGACAACGGGGGGGCTTGGGAGAGGTTTCTAGGGCAGGAAGCCTGTGATGTTTTAGCCGTGATGTCTGAACCTGTCTGAAGGACCCTTGTGAAGTTGCACCCTTGGGCGCTGAGGCTTCCAGAAGAGACAGTCAGCAGCAGGGCACTGCAAGGCCTTGAGCCCATGGCTCTGTGGCCCAGGCAGGGCAGCAGCAGGCTCTGCACAGGGATCTGGCATTTCGGGGGACCCCCGTGGTCCCCAGGTGCTCTGCCCTGCTGAGGAGGGGTGCATATGCCTGGTTTCCCTGCAGAGCAGAGCCCGCCTGCCAGCGTGAGCAGCAGCCGGGGAAGGATGGGCTTGATGAGGCTTTTCCAGAGCTCTGGTGACTGAGCTTGGTCGTTGCTCCTCTGTCCTAGCTGACAAGCACAAGCTGGAGCGTTTTCTGCGCCCTGATGCTGCTCTCGTGGTGACTGTTTATGCTCCTATCACTTTCCCTCCTGCCTCAGTGCTACTTTTTAAGCAGAGAAGTAACGGTAAGTTGGTGAATGCTGGGGAGGTGGCATGTGGGAAATGGGCCTTTGTCCGCTCGTGAGAGCACCTATCCAGGAAGCGTGGCTTGAAAGAGCCGTGCGTCCTTCATGCTTGACACCGTTTGAGATGAGCTCATGTGTTGATGCCTCTGCCTTGCAGGAATGCACGACCTCGTTGCCACGGGCTCTCTGCTCGCCGTGGACCCCGACAGAATCGTCGTCAAGCGGCTGGTGCTCAGCGGCCACCCTTTCAAGATCTTCACCAAGACAGCTGTAGTGCGATACATGTTTTTTAACAGAGGTGCAGCCCTTCTCCGTGTGGTGGGAAGAGGGGGATGTGGAGGCAGAGCTCCTGCTGCTTATGGAAGGGGTCAAGCGGGCACAGGAAGGTCTGTTTCTTAACCCGCTTTTGCATTTTTTGTTTTCCAGAGGACGTGATGTGGTTTAAGCCAGTGGAGTTGAGAACCAAGTGGGGTCGGAGGGGACATATCAAGGAGCCGTTAGGTAGGTTTGGTTTTTGGCTCTGAAGCCGAGCTGGGAGAAGGCACTCTCTGTGCATACCCAGCCTGCCCTTCCTAGGACTCATGGCCTCTTCTGCCCTGTGCCTAGGGACCCACGGTCACATGAAGTGTCACTTCGACGGACAGCTAAAATCCCAGGACACGGTGCTGCTGAACCTCTACAAACGTGTTTTTCCCAAATGGACTTACGACCCCTATGTTCCAGAGCCTGTGCCGTGGGCGAGGGATGAGACAGTGCCCCTGGCACAGGACGTGGAGCTGGAGTAAGCCTGGAGGCCCAGGTAGCTCCCGCAGTTGGTGCCTTTGCTCCCCGGTTGCTGCTCTCGTCCTGTACGCGGTGAGGGCAGCACTGCTGTTGTCTTGGACGTGTCAGGGCAGGGATCTGTGCTGCTGCCCATGTACCACCTACAGCTATTTATTTACTTTGGAATATATTTTAAAAAACACGGAAGCTCCTGTGTCTTGGTGGTATCGGGCTGGGGAGGCTGTATTCACCCTACTGTCCTGTGGCCCCCAACCCAGTTGGGCTGCTGCTCCAATGGACTGAGCTTGAGGGGATTTTGCTGTATCAAGGAGAGGTTCCCCACTGGACTTCACTGGAGGTTATTGCGGAGCCTGAGAGAAGTGGAGCAGCAGCCTGGGAGATGCCTGCAGCTCCCCCAAGGCCCATCCCCGAGCGGGTGGCTGGGCAAGGAAGCACAGGCAGCCTTCCCCTGTGGTGATTCTGGCTCTGCTTTGGAGTAAAGTGACTCTGTGTTCTGGAGTTCAACCCCAGCTTCCCTTCTCCCTCCATAAAAGCACCACCACGGCGGGGGGATTGCTCATCTATTTTAATAGTGCACAAAGCAGGCTGTACAAATCCGGTGTCGGGTTTGTGCCGCTGAGACGCTGCCTGTTCTCACTCCGCTGCTGGAGGGAGGTCTGTGAGCCAGCCCAGGGCGCTCAGGTCCACGTTGCCGCCGCACAGCACCACACAAACGTTCTTCACGTCCGGGGAGACGGTGCGGAACCGCTCGGAGAGCACGGCCGCGACGCCCACGCCCGCCGTGGGCTCGATGAGCAGCTTCATCCTCTCCCACACCAGCCGCGTTGCTTGCTGTGGGGACAGGGCAGCCCCGCTCAGTCCTGCAGCACGCACGTGCTGGTGAGGACACTGCGTGCCCAACGTCTGCAGCCCTCGGGGGAGGCAGAGCAGAGTTTCTGCAGCGCTTTCCAGCTGGAGATCATGTAAGCGTTGCATGCGTGGGGTGTAAGGGCGAGAACGCAGGGCTGGCAGCAGCTGCTACAGTGGCAGGGCAGCCAGGGAGCACTTGCCTTGATTTCTTCCTCCGAGACTGTCAGGACATCGTCAACCAAATCCCTAATGATGGGCCAGGTGTTTGGTCCGATGCTGGTCTTAACGGCGTCGGCAATGGTGTCCGGGGGGTGCGGGTTGGGGGTCAGCTCCCCTCTCAGCTTGGACTGGTAGCAGTCGTCGGCGTTGCAGGGTTCAGCCGCAAACACTTTCACGTCTGGCCTCAACGCCTGTGGGGAGCACCCGTGGCCGCCCGCACTTGCTTGGAGCAGGGTGAGCGCCCATGGGGGTGACACCAACGGGGTGACACAAACAGGGGCTGCCGTGCTGAGCACAGGTGACCGGGTGCCTCCATGCACGGGCACTTTCCAAAGTCACCACCTGCCCTGCTGAACTGGTTTTCCCAGGAATGCAGCTCCCTACCTTGACAGCAACCGCTATCCCGGCGAGCATCCCCCCGCCGCCGACGGGCACCACCAGCGCGTCCACCTCGGGCACCTGCGCGGGCGCCGTGAGCGGCTGGGGCAGCGCCGGCCGGGCCGGCCCCGCGCCACGCCGCTGCCCTCACCTGCTCCAGCACCTCCAGCGCGATGGTGCCCTGCCCCGCGATCACCGCCGGCTCCTGGTTGGGATGCACCACCACGCCGCCCGTCTCGCGCGCCACGCGCGTCGCCGTCTCCGCTCTGGACTAAAGCGGGCGCGGGGTCGGCGCTACCGTCCTGGCTGTGCCCGTGGGGTCAGCGTGCTGTCCCGGCCGTGCCCACGGCGTGCCCGCCGCGCCTCACCTCGTCGCTGGGCTCGCACGGCACCACCGTGGCCCCGTAGCCCTCGATGGCGGCCACCTTGCAGCGCGGCGCCGTGCGCGGCACCACAACGTAGGCGGGAATCCCTGCGCGGGGCGAGAGGCCGCGGCACCCACGGGTGCCCCACGCGCGGGGGGCACCGCTGCCGTGGCGGGTGTCCCCTTCGCCCCGGGCTCTCCCGTTACCTTCCTCCCGCGCGGCGCACGCCAGCGCCTGCCCGTGGTTGCCGCTGCTGTGCGTGACGAGGGCGCGCGGGCGCGCGGCCGCCTCCACGAGGGCGCGCACGGCGTTGAGCGCGCCGCGGATCTGCGCGGGGGAGAGCGCGCCGCGTGAGCGCGC